CCTTTCAATTTTGAGATTTGGGTATGGAATGGCGGTAGCTGGTCCTGCGAGTCCACTTTTGATGTCCCTGCCAATGCTGGTGCTCGTAGGGTAGTGGGCCTCTACATGAACGATAAAGTGTTTCTTGAGGACATTGAGGGTAATCTACTGCTTTACGATTGTGAGACGGCCAAGTTGGAGAAGCTCGGTATCCATGACGATAGTTTGTCTATGTTAGTCTTCCCTTTTCTTGAGAGCTCTCCTTGTGCTCAATTTGAATCCGAATCCGAATCTGAATCTGAATCTTCATCGTGTTGTGTTTCTGCCTCCGGCACCTCTAACAGCAGTAGTGCCCCTGCCCCGGCTCGTCAGCTGGCGCCTTCCCACGATACGAAGTTTGACATCAACCGCTATAGTCTTATGCTTATGGTGCAGTATGTAATCGATGGATGTCGCGATTACGCTGTAATCTCAACCGAAAACAACTCGTTCAAATTGGTGGGAGATCATGATGAAGAAAAACTTCCTAAACTCTCGTTGCTCAGAGCGCAAAACTACAATATCATGTGTAGGAATGCCCCGTATGATATACTAGCGAGTTGCAATTTATTGATGTTGTTGTTATGTCAACGAGCTCTTATAAAGCCCTGGTTGTGTCTGTGGGAGCCTATGACCAACAGGTTCCTAAACCTTCCTGATTTTGAGTTGAAGCCGCACTTGCCCTTTCCATTTTTCTCGTCCTACCGGGGTCTTGGTCTCGGGTTTGATCCCGCATCTCAAGCCTATAAGGTGATCAGGTGTCGTGTGTTCGAGTATCACGATTCTAAGTGCGAAGTCCGAGCAGAGCTGATCTCGCTCAGAACTTGGTCCTGGAAGGAAATTCCGTATCCACATGATCCCAACTTGCAACCCTTTTCCTGCCCTTCGCCACACATAAATGGCTTCTATTATTGGCTAGCTAAGGATTCGAGTGGTCATCGTGCTATTATTTCCTTCGACTTTGAAAATGAGGAGTTTCCTGATCTTATCCCTCTTCCCGAGTACTCGTTCGACATTGTTCTTGTTGAGTTTAACGGGTTGTTGGGTGCTGTTGTTTACGATTTTGTGAAGGAGGGTATTATTTCTGCTGAAAAGAAGAAGCCTTACTTAGAGATTTGGGTGTGGAATGACGGTAGCTGGTCTCTCCAGGATACATTCCATGTCCCTGCTACTGTTGCTCCTCATAGGGTATTGGGCCTCTACAAGAATCTTTATGTGTTACTTGAGGACTCGAAAGGCTATCTAATGCTTTACGATTGTGCGGCCAAGACGTGCGAGAAATTCCATATCCGTGATGATAGTTCGTCACTGCTCGTATTCCCTTATTTTGTGAGATCCATTTCCTCTGTAAATTCAAGCTCCTAGAGCATCTTTTTTTTTTTTTTTTTTT